CGCTGTCATAACCCTGGGCAGCTTTCGCCTCGATCTCGTCACGGCTTGCGCCGAAACCGGCACGCCGCAACAAGTGAGCCATCAAGGCAACATCATGTTGGTCAGCCATACAATCCTCCTTTAATTTTTATCTGCAGATGCGCATACTGTACTGGCCCCAATCAGGGCCATATCCTAATAGACACCCGACAACCGCCTATCTGAAGTGGCAAAGAATTTGGCGTTGTTTGGTGTCGGTTATAAGGTAGAAAAAAGATACCTTAAAGCCCTGTCTCTGTCAATATTTTCGGTGTCAGGGTTGGCCCCATCCACCAATAAGCAAAGACAGCCACGAATGAACTCTTTGCAAAAAGCTCATTCGTGCCAATTCGTGGATTACAATCCCTAAAAGCTATGTCAAGAGTCCCTTCCCCCTCGACGGGGGAAGGTTAGGAGTGGTGGTGCAGGAACTCATCTCTTGGATAACTCCCCTAAGCTCACCTCAGAAATCCCGGATGTCGCAGCAATGTCGACGGCATGTTCAGACGTTTCCTAAATAGGAAGCACCGGTTCGGTCCGCTCCTCCGGCAGGTCAATCATGAAGGTATTGGCGTTGAAGGCCAGCAACGCATAGTATCCGAACAGCGTGCAAAGCTCCGTCAACCCTTGGGCGCCGAACTGGTCAATCGCTGCCTTTCCTTCTCCTTGCTTACCTTGCTCGTGCTGAATACTTGTCCTGTCCCATTTTTATCCCCTTCCTGTCTCATTGGGGGGCTGCTGCATCGTCTATTCAGCGGGCTACCGTCCCCATGGCATCCACGACGAAGGCATCGCTTATGCCCTGGCGCTTGGCCCCGGCGGCATGGGCGTTCCAGATGTACTGGCAGTCGTTGGCCCGCGCCGTAACGATCATCGCCAACTCCTGGATGCGCTTGTTTTTTAGGGTTTGTTTTATGTGTTGGTTGTTTTTGGTTTTTTATTTTTTTTTTTTTTTGTGTAATTTTATGGTTGGTCCTCGTTTTACTCGCCCGCAGGTAGTTGACCAAACCGTTAGCCAGCCGACGCATCTCCGGACTGTTAATCATGGCGGTGCCGGGCCCGCTGGTAATAGTCCCGCCGCTGGCGGCGGTCTCAGAATCAAAAGCCTCGCGCAGGTTCTCGGGTACCATGTCACGGGTGGTGGTGGGTGTTCGCATGGTGGGGTGCCTCCTATTCTTCAGTAGTTTCCTAGATGCTGGGAAATGCCCTCGTCTACTGGGTCTTGCCTGGCAGACTTTACGTATCTGTCTTTTTCCCGTCCCTCTCAACCGTTTGGCGTAGTACTTCGTTGATCCGGGAGTGCCAATCACCGTCGGCAGCCCGGAAGTAATCCAACACGTCTTTATCCAGGAGGATTCTCAGTCTTTCCTTTCTCCCAGATTTCAATTCGTGTTGTTCCCGATGGTATCTTTCCAGGATGTGGGGGATTATTTCCTCGGAGGGTTTGGCCTCCTTAAACCACTCCACATCGGCCTCAAAGTCATCCGGGTCTTCTGCAATCTGAGCATCAATTTCCGCGTCCTCTTCTGGACTGAGCCAAATTAATTTACGGACTTTGTTGGTCATAAATTCTCATCTCACGGTTGTTGGCCTTTCGCAGGCTGATGATGCGAATTGAATCGCCGCGTTGCGTCCAGATGACCTTAAAGAGGCGGCTTTGAACCAAACCGTAGCTTGACCAACGGGTCTCGCCGTGCCGGTCGCTGCGAAAGGTCAAGGCGCTATCCCAATCAAAATAGTCCATCAAATCGAAGTCAACACCCCGGGTCCTCAAGGTCTCTTCCCGTTTTTCCTCGTCCCACTCGTAAGGCATAAGTTAACTGTCAGTTAATTCTACCGGCAACAGAGTAGGCCAGCAAAGCAAGTCTTGAGAATGGCCTTTCACTCATATGGTATTCCGCCCCCCTACCCCACAATCTCTCTAACCGTCCGGTCCACCAGCTCCACCGGCACGTCCCGCCTGACCGTGGCGTGGCCCACCCGGTCCAGCATTACCCAGCGATTGGCGCCGCCGGAAACCTTCTTGTCCAGCGACATCGCCCTCCGAATGTCTTCCACATCGACCCCCTGGGCGGTCGTGGGAAGATTGAACCGGCGCAATAGCTCATACTGCCGGTCCACAATCTCCTGGCCGTGCAGGCCCATCTCGCAAGCCATCCTGGCGGCGCCCATCATGCCAATGGACACCCCTTCGCCGTGCATGAACCGGCCGTACTCGGTGGACGACTCCAGGGCATGGCCGATGGTGTGGCCGTAGTTCAACAGGATGCGGATGTCCAGCGTCTCCCGCTCGTCCTGGCTCACCACCTCGGCCTTGATTGCCATGCTGCGCCGTATAATCTCGGTGGAAATCTCCGGCTCCACGTTCATCAGCGCCTCGGCGTGCTCCTCGAACACGTCCACCAGGTTGGCGTCCATGATGAACCCGTGCTTGATGGCCTCGGCCCAGCCTTCCGACAGTTCCCGCTTGCCCAGGGTGGACAGGGCCTCGACGTCGGCCAGCACCGCCTTGGGCTGGTAGAAGGCACCCACCAGGTTCTTGCCCTGGGGCAGGTTCACCGCCACCTTGCCGCCGATGGACGCGTCCACCATGGCCGCCATGCTGGTGGGCACCTGCACAAAGGGGACACCCCGCAGGAAGGTTGCCGCCACGTATCCGGCCAGGTCGCCCACCACGCCGCCGCCCACGGCCAGGATGGCGTGGCCCCGTTCGGCCCGCAGCCCCACCAGCCACTCGTAGATGGCCTGGGCCAGGCTGTTGGTCTTGCTGGGCTCACCGGCGGGGATGATAAAGCAGTGCGCGGCGATGCCCCGTTTCTGCAACGCCCGCTGGGCCCGCCGACCGTAGCGGTTCATCAGGTTTTCGTCGGTAATGATATAGACGGGACTGCCGATGCCCAGTTCTTCCAGCCGGTCCCCCAGTTGGTCAATGATGCCCCAGCCGGCAACGACAGGGTAGCTCCCGCCCGAGTGATAAACGGTAGCGGCCATGGTCGGGGTCGGTGTTCGAGTTGATCGTCGCGTTGGTCATGAATCTGCTCCCAATGTGATATTCAATTGCCGGTAACTGTGAGGATAAAGCCCTTTATCTCCTGGTAGGATGAACATCGTCCATTGGTAGGATGAACATCGTCCATACTGAAGAACTCCACGAATGCCCATCCCACGGATTCGTCCTCTGAGCAATTGCAGGTGTCCTCGTGATCGCAATCGACGACGTACAGGGCGTGGGTGTAGTGCTTGACCGGCCTGTCCGGGGGTATGGGCACATCGGCCCAATCCTGGCTCTTCCACACTATCCGGTTCCCCAGGTCGGAATTCTCCATAACCCACTGCCTTGAAGCATAGACCGGCATTCCCAGGTCGGCAGGATTATCCCCCCTGAACATCTCCAGGATTTCGTGCATGTCAGGCATATTGTGCCTCACCTCAAAAGCTTGGTCTCCACCATTGGCCTGCTTGGAAGACTCTGCAGCTTGGCAACTATCTCAATAGTCCCTTCCCCCTTGACGGGGGAAGGTTAGGATTGGGGGTGACGCTTGGCGAAGTGCCACCGCGGGGCACGAATGATACTTTCACCGCCGGTTCTGAGATAGTTTCTTAGTCGGGTTCCAAACTCAGGAATGCTCCAGGATTCCAATGGCCAGCAACACCACCACTCTCCCCGCCACCTCTTCCGGCGCCAATTCGTCGGTGTCGATGGCCGTGTGCGCGTCGCCTCCGCCCGTTGCGCCAGCAACTCCCGAATCCGGCCCAGCGGATCGTCACCCGACAGCAGCGGACGTACTGCCTGCCCAGAGTCGTCGGCTGCCTTGAGCCGTTGGTAAATGGTCTCCGGCTGGGCCTGGAGACAGAAGACAGTCCCGCCCGCCAGCATTACTCGCTGGTTTTCCGGATCAACGAACGCCCCGCCGCCAGCCTAGAGATCTTGCCATCTGGCGAACCGCGCACAACTCAGCGATGACCTCCCGCTCCAGGTCGCGAAAGACCGTCTCCCCCTCTTCGGCAAAGATTCGGTCAATAGACTTTCCTGCGCGGGCTACAATCTCCGTGTCGGCATCCACCAGGGGCATGCCGGTGCTCTGGGACAGAATCTTCCCCACATGGCTCTTCCCCGAGGCCATGAAACCCACCAGGATAATGTTGTCAGGTTGGGGCAACACTTTATCTCACTGGTTAATCCACGAATACGCAAATCGCCTAACCCGTCATTCCGGCGAAGGCCGGAATCCAAAACCTAACCCGGGCAAGAAGGCCTCATCCCCGAACCCGCCTTTCCGCCCAATCACTCATTCGTCCCCATTCGGGGAAAATGTGTTAATCAGGCAACTGCGTCAGGTGCATCCGGCTGCCCAGACTGGTGGTGGTATCAAAGTAGAGCACCTGCTGCCCCACCGAATTCGTGTTGGGAGTGTCGGCCACGAACTTGAACCCCCGGCCGCAGCAGTCGTCGATGCCGGCATGGATATCGTCCATAACATAGCCCACGTGGTCCATCGTATGGTGACCGCCCAGTCGCTCTGGGTCGATAGGCTCAATCAGCTCCACCTGCACCTGTCCGAAGTTTACAAAGGCGTTCCGACTGCCCGTACGTGAGGGCCCGCCGCCAATGTGTACGCCGTCAAACTTGTCCACGTACCAAGCAATGGCCTCGTCCACGTTGGGCACCAGGTAGCCCGCGTGGACAATCTTGGCGACCTGCACGCCGCCGCCCACACCGGTTGCAACCGCATTCTCCGGCGCCGGTAGCTGTGTCAGGTGCATCAGTACATTGTTGGTGGTCTCGGGATGGAAATACAGCAGTTGCTGGCCCAACTGGTTGGTGCGGGGAGCGTCCGCCGCGAACCGGAAGCCCCGTGCCTTGCAGTCTTCAATGGCCTCGTGAATGTCGGCTACCACGTAGCCCACGTGGTGCATGACCAGCCCGTCCTTGGGCAAATTGGACGTATCGGCGGGCTGGATCAGTTCCACCTCCACCTGGCCGAAGCGCAGAAAGGCGTTGATGCCGCCGCCAGGCACCTGAACGCTGCTGGCCACGTCGCCACCCCCGGCGCTCAGTGCCCCGAACCCCTTGTTGTACCAGTCAATGGTGGCCTCAAGGTCGGCGGTGTAGTATCCAATATGCTGAATCTTGTCAAACATGGTTCTGTTCCTCGGATTAGATTTGGTCGATTGATGGGACCCCTGACCAGGTCCCTTCCCCCTCGCCGGGGAAGGGCTGGATGGGGGTGACGGAGCTCATTTCATAGCTGCCCCCCCTCTGACCAAGTCCCTTCCCCCTCGCCGGGGGAAGGTTAGGCTGGGGTGACGGCGTTCATTCCGAACTGGCACCGCCATTATGCCATAAAGAGCAGTTTCAGGCATATTGAAGCCCCCATCTGAACCATAAACCACCTCACAGCCAGCCCTCATCTGCATTCATTGGAGGCTGAGGGACTAATGATTGGAGTTTGATGAGAAGGATGAACCCTGCCGCCAAACCCTTCGTGGGAAGCCCCCCGCTGTATCCACTGACACCCATCCATAGCCAGCCCGTGAGCCCCCCTACTACTATTAATATTGGGGCGACGGTATTGGTTAACCCTGAAATGTGAGTCGACTCCGAGCCAATCTAAATTCAGTCCTAGCGCACCCTGGATGCTGTTACCCAGAGCAAAGCTCAGATCATTTCAAGCGATGCCGCTTTATTGC